GGGAGGCTCCCCAGCCTGTGGCCCCGCCCAGACTCCACCCCTGCTCCGCCCGCGCCCCTTCCCTCCCCACCACGCTACCCTTTCCCCACTATCTCCCTCTTCTCACCTTTTCCAGTCAAATCCCTAAACCCAAATGTACCAATTTTTTTTGGGGGGGGGACCCACACTTCTAAAATTTCTTTCTAAAGAAAATGGAACACGTTTTTCACTGCATGCCAGATTGTGAAGACTTGAACATGCAGAAGGTACTTAATTAAAAGCACTAAATTTGGGACTCAGATTTATTTGCATAAACTTGCTGAATGGAAAATTATGGAATCCATGATGCAGCTCTTCTCTGTTTTACATTTTTTTCATTAGTATTTCTAAGCTTATTTTAGGTTTTAAATAAACTCTTAAGCCTTCATTAAGTAATCATGCCAGATAACTAGATATTAACTCAGTGAAACAAAAACATTATTTTAAACTAATCTGAGCAGCTTAGTTTGTTCATAACAAAGTTCATGGCTTTTAGAAAAAGGGAACACTAATTTATTTTGTGTGATTTTCATAACAAGACATGTTTATGAAATTTCACTACATGTTTATCTTAAAATGTTTCCAAAGATTTTAGGCATATCAAAGGATTTTATCTCTTAGTAAGGTACTGATTTTGGTGGTGGGTCAGAAGTAAAAAGGAAACTCATTTGTCCAGCTATCTAGAAGAAAAGGAATGTTGTCCCTTTACCAGCTGTCTTCAACAGGAGAGTGAAATGGGAGTGGGGATGATAGGAAGGACAGGAAAATTTTGGAAGCAAGTTTTTGTACTATAAAGGAATTAAAATGTATATTTTAGATAAGGTAGGTCTTTTGAAGAATTTATTTTAAAAACTGTGTGAGGATCTAAGCATTTAAAGCTAAAGCTGAATACTCAGATTGTGCATTTAAATATCTATGCACAGATTTTTTTAGAGCTGTGATTCAGCAACAAACTAATGAAATATTTAAACACATTTTAAACTAAGGTTCTGTAGACATAGCAATACTCAACTGTTTTTGGCAGTAAATTCAGGGTAGGCACATGCCTGTTAAAAGGCTTCATTACCACTTAATGGCTCTTTCATAGGTTTAATGTTATGCTAATAGATCAAGCAAGCTGAAAGATTTTTCATTTTAAAGTTAAGGTTCACTTCAGGGGAAGAGGTCTCAGAGGGGTAGCCATGCTAATCTGCAACTTTAAAAACAATGAGTAGTCCTGTGGCACCTTAAAGACTAACAATATATATACAGTATCACGAGCTTTTGTAGGTAAAACCCACTTCTTTGGATGAACTGGAATGGAAAAAACTCTTTGGGAGAGTCACCAGTCTGCACGTTGCAACAGCTTGCTGTGGGAGCCTTCAGGAACAATCAGAATAGTGATAGGATGAGGAGGGTGGTTAATCACTAAAATCCAGGGGAGGCATCTTAAACCTGCTGCTCATGGTAATGGCAAATCTTGTTAATCTGGGAACCCTGCTTGATGAAGACACTTTTGATCTGGATCCACCAACATTGTACTATCTAAACAGAGAAACAGTGTGGAGCAGCTAGAGGGGTGCTCCAGGGTCTACAGTACATGTTGATTGCAAGCTGTTGCAGCAGCAGCACACAAACGTACACACACAGCAGCCGGCGGTGGGATCCAACTACTTTCTAGGTTCACTGGTTTTTTTTAACCTGCCCTGCCAAGTTAATTATTTAGACTTAGCGTTAGGGACAGCTTCTCCATTGTGATGAGACCTCAAGAGTCTGGCAGGCTCCAAGTGGACCCAGCTTTGCCCCACAAACAGGAGCGACCCTAGATTAGCTGCCAGCAACTGGCACCCTAGGCTACCCATGCAATTGGCACCCCCACCTCCAAACCCCTCAATGATATTGTGCCACCATTTGGCGCCCCATTTAACTTGGCACCCTAGGTGACTGCCTAGTTTGCCTATATAGATGGGCCACCCCTGCCCATAAAACATGCCTGGGAGAGCAAAGCAAGACAAATCTCTCTCTCCAAGCCAGCATGGCATTTGCTGTATGCACAGGCTTAGCTGCACATGAGCAAGCATCCAAGCTGGGGACTGAGGCCAAAAGCATTTAGATGAGATGGCAACAAAACCGTTTTCCCCTCACCTCAGAGCAAACTGCTTACTATAGACTCCCGATGAGCCCCCTAGTTCCAATTTGAAACTCATTGTGGTACAGCCCTCACTGCTTCCGGACATGTCTCTCTTGAGAACTCTTCCAGCAAGCACAAGCACAAGAATGGATAATGGAAGATCGTTATCATAGCAGTTGTACTTGGCCCAGTTGGGGCAGGCTTTTCCACGGCTCCTGATTGCAGAACGTTTTGGGTCAGGAATGAATTTTCCCCAGTGTTAACTGGCAGAGACCCTGGAAATTTTTGCAGCTTGTGTCACTTGCTACATGTAGGATGTCAGAATAGAAGAGCCCAATGATTCTCTCTGGCCTTAAAGTCTATGAATAAGGATGGGATTTTTACCTTTGGCTTCTCTTGTCAATTGGGTTGTTTTTAGTCACTGCACCATAGGCTTAGGATAGAATCTAATCAAACCAGCCTTCAGCCTCAGAGTTGTGAGCAGAGTACAGGCTGGACCTTCCTGATCCAGCACCCTCGGTCCATCAGCATACCCTACTGGGTTCCCCACTTGGCTCTGCTGCTGGGGCTCTGCACCTCCAGGGCACTCCAGTGCCCTGGTACAGCCGGGGCTCTGTGCCTCCAGGGCGGATGGGGCTCTACTGTCCCAGTGCAGGTAGGGCTCCATGCTTCCAATGCGGCCAGGGCTCTGCAGCCTCACTGTCCCAGGACTACCAAGGTCACTGGAGCTTCCCTGCCTCTGAGACTGCTAGTCTGCGGCCAGCTTTGGGACACTGGGCTCCTGGCTCCCTGCCTGCCGCTGGGTTTCCGGACTCTCTGGTCCAGGGCCTCTCTGGTCTAGCAACAGAACCACGGATGTTGCTGAACCACAGAGGTTCAAACTGTAGTTGAAGGGGAAAAAAATCAGAAGATAAAGCACATTTTTCCTCATCTTTTTTCCATTTTGATCAACATTTTCCCTGATATTTTAACATTTCAGATATCCAAACTAGCTCTATGGAGGGTAAAAAAAAGTAGAAACATTTCAATGATTTTTTTCAGATTTTGTCCCCCCCCTTCCCTTATTTTTTTTTTTTTTTACCAAATCTGCAAATGTTGTTTAAAATGTTATTTGAACCTGATCAGCTTTGTTCAACTCCATGAAAACTGTGTTTCTATACGGGGCCCTTGGCTAGGTCTCTGTAGCCAGTGTGGTGATAAGATATTGCCTAATACCAGTTCCTGACAAAAGCCCCGCATAAAATTGGCAGGAAAGTTATTGTCCATACAAGCAAGCACTTTCCAGAATTCACAAGAAGCCCTTATTTGGCTGTTGGTATCATATCAGCTGCAATAAGCAGCCTCCATTAAAGATCTGATCTATTAAGTCAGTAGGAATCTTTCCATTGCCACAGTCCCATTGCTGTAAAGCACTTACTAGATTTCCAGAATGCTAAGGGCCCAATCCTGCTCCCACTGAAGTCACTGGCAAAATGTTTATTAATCTTGGTAGGGCAGGTTCAGATTGCAAAGAGGGTAAGCTGTATTCAACGGGATTTCAATTGATCTGTTATTTAGGTTTTCAGGGACTTGTTCCAGCATTAATTGTTCCAAATTAATTTGCAAATTAATATGAGGTCTCAAAAGTCTATAACTATTTATAATTGCATGATGCAACCTGATCTATGGTATCTTTTTTCATTTTCCCCAACCTTGGCTACGGAGCCTGCTCTACATTAGAAAATGTATACTGATGTAACTGTCAGCTAGAGGCATGCTTTTATGATACTGTTAAGCCAGGCAGATGCAGTGATAGTGGCATAAGAGTTCCTTGTATTGGAGTACGATAAGCAATACTGATTGTACGTACTTTTATACTGATATAACTGTCCATGATTGGGGGAGTCCTGAAGCTTTATACCAGCAATATTTTCTAGGGAAATGCAGCTGAGTTGCTGCTATATCACACTCTCAGGTGGGTGGATATAGGATGACAGTAGCTGTGTCCCACTTTCCCTTCTTGTGTTTTGTGGCCTATTCTGGCCTGACCTCCGGGGTCAAGACCCATTCAAGAATTTGATTCCTTCTGGTGCCACAGTAGCCTTTAATACATCCTCAGGCCCACCGGCTGGTAGACAGAGATAGGAGGGAAATGCCCAGGGGAATCTGGCTGCTATTCCCAACAGAACTAAAAGGAGCTATGGGGTCAGGGACTGTGGGCAGTGGCAAGTGGAGACCCCTCGGCCCCTATGCTTAAGTGCTGCTGCCAGAAGGGTGGCCCCCAAAAGTGCCTTGCTCTGGCAGTGATTTAAAGGTATGGCACTCTGGCCACTGCCACAGTAGCTGTGGTGACCAGAAGCATTGGGCCCTTTTGAATCAACACCCCCTCCCTTTGCCACCTGTGTGTTGGTGGGCCTGGATGGGGCTAGGAATTAGCCTCCCCAAGCCAGCCAATGGGGATGAGAGAGATAAAGGGGGCAGTTGTCCGAGAGCCTGGTGATTTTAAAAGGGCACAGGGCTCTGGCGGCAATTTAAAGGGTGGAGGGCCCTTTTAAAATCACCGGAGTCTGGGGCAATTGCCCCCTTTATCTCCCTCATCCCCATTGCTAGCCCTGTTCACATGCTAGAAGGCACTGGATTCACAAGGCTATGCTGATATACAAGTAAGACTGGCTTACTGAGATTTCTCACAGCAGACTAAGTCAGGGAAGTGAAATCCAATTCC